TCTCTCTCATCATTGACGTTTCTTTTCTTTTAAAAAATGTTTTTATTGATTTTGAGAGAGAGAGAGGAAGGGGAGAGCAACAGAAACATCCAGGAGAGAGACATCCATCAGCTGCCTCCTGCACACCCCTGCCCTCTGGTGGCTGGTCCTCCGCTGGGTGCGCACACGGCCACCAGGTGGCGCCCTCTCCGTCCTGCCGACTCCCTGTGGCACCTGTGAGCCCAGGTGTGTCGCCCACTTGATTTTCTCATTAGTGGGATGGCCCCTGTGACTCCTGGGAGCCTAGAGTCGAGAGAAGGAGGCACAGACATCATGTGACTTGGGGACGGTCATGGGGAGGACCAGTCTCCCTAGGACACAGGCGAGCCCTGAGGGATGGAGACAGGGCTTGAGCCAGGACTTGGAAGGACACAGGTGCTGGCAGGGGGACAGGGACGGGGCACCTAGCCAGCCAAGGCGGGCACCTTCCTCGCGGCCTGTGGCCCAGTGCCAGGACCCAGGCCCTGAGGGCGGAGGGGACGGGGAGGGCGGCTCAGACCAGGGGGAGGGCAGGGGAGTGAGACAGAGCCGGTGGCATCTGACCCGAGGGCAGGTCCCTGGTCTCATCAGGCACGCACCCTGGAAGGCTGAGCAGAAGGCAAATGCGCAGAGGGGTGGAGGGCTGGGAAGGTCCCCTCAATGCCCTGGCCCCAGCTGCCCTGAGCCCACAGGCCCCGTGGGGCCCCCTGATGCCTTCACTGTGGGCCAGCCTGGACATGGTCTCTCGGGGGGCCCAGGGCTGCTTCCAGGCTGCCGGGTGTCCCTGCCTCTGAGCCCCGGGACAGCTGGTGGTGTCCCCAGACTGTCCGCGAGCAGGACCCTCACAGACACCAGGGGGCGCCCACGGCCTTCCCAGCAGCGTCCTGCCTGCTCACCAGGTCCCTATCCTGCACAGAGCGCCTGCTCCCAGGAGGGGGCGCGGGGAGGGTGAGCCGTGCTCTCACGGGGCCTGCGAAGCGAGTTAACGTTCCTCCCCATCACCTTTATTTATTTTTTTAAAAAATATTTTTATTGATTTCAGAGAGTCAGGAAGAGGGAGAGGGAGAGAGAGAGAAACATCAGTAATGAGAGAGAATCATGAATCAGCGGCCCCCTGCACCCCCCACCCTGGAGATCGAGCCTCAGCCCGGGCCTGTGCCCTGACCGGCATCGAACCCTGACCTGGTTCATAGGTCGACGCTGAACCGCTGAGCCCCGCACCCGGGCCTCTCTCTTTAACCAGCCTCCCCCGCGCCCCATCCCCAGCTCGGGCCACCACTCTCCTAGGCTCAGTTCTAGTTTGACTTGTTTGTTTGTTGGATCCCCAGGTAGGTGATGCCGCCCAGCGCTGTCTTCATCATCTGACGACATCACTCGCCGTGGGCCCCCAGAACAGCACTTCCTGTCCGCAGGCACCGCACCCCCTCACCCGTCGATGGCCTGGTGCTCCCTGCGCGGCCGTTACGGGTGGTGCCGCATCGACGTGGGGAGATGAGTCTCTTCGAGATGCAGATTTCACTCCCGTGGGTGGATCTAGACCCAGAAGTGGGGCTGGTGGGTGAGGAGGCTGCTCTCTGCTGCACTGACGACGGGTTCAAGTTCACGTCCAGAGACACGTCCTGGCCCAGCACGGGCAAGGGGACGACTGGCTGCAATCCTGACGCCGGTGGCTGGCTTTGCCTGTCGACTTGGTGGGGCCACGCGGCCGACACTTGGTCAGACATTCCTCTGGGTGTTTCTGGGTGATATGCGACATCGACCAGGACTCTGAGAGACGCAGGTGGTCGTCTGGGTGTGGGGGGGGGCCTCGCCCACCAGCTGAAGGCTGAGCTCCCTGGGGGCGAGGGAGTCCCCGCAGTCGGCCTCCAGATGCAAACTGCAACTCTTTCCCGCCCCGGCCAGCCTCCCCATCGGATGGCCGAGTCAGTTCCTCAAAATAAGCCCCCTTCTCTCCGCTCACACCCTGTTGGCTCTGCGGCTCTCTCTGCAGAGTCGGACGAGCGCCCTGACCCATGGCCGTGGGACAGGCCCCTGACACGCGTGGCCCACACCCGGCGGTGCCAGGCCCATCCGGTGCCCCTAGAACACCACGGCCTCCGCTGGCCAGTTCTGGGGAAGAAGCTCCACACTGACCCAAGCAGGTCCGCACGCGGCCGGGGACCACGCAGAGACGGGCCGACCTGGGCCTTGCTGTGCCCGTTGCTGTGCCCATTGCTGTGCCCGTTGCTGTGCCCATTGCTGCCAGGGCTGCCAGGAGGCCCCAGATGCGAAACAAGCAACAGCCCACACGAAAGGCCAGCAACTCCAACTTGAGAGATGGGAGGGGCGAGGGGGCGGGTCTCTCTGGCCCCAGGAGTCCCGTGTCCCCCACATCCCAGGCCTCCTTCTTCCTTGCCCAGCCCCTGGAGGGTCAGGGGTGAAGCCCCGGGGAGAGGCTCCTGCTGACGTCACCTGATTGATGTGGCATTTCCGGAGCTGAGTTCTCCAAGGGGGTGGGGGACTTGCTGCCGGTCGCTGATTCCAGCCAGAGTCCCAGGTCTGTGCAGCCTGCCCCCATCACTTCAGTCAGCGCTGCCCTCTCAGCCCACGATGTCACAGAAGGCAAAGGTTTGCATAACTACGGCTTATCGTAAAAACTGTCGATATCAGCATACTGTGAATAATAGGGAGGTGCCTTAAACTAATAACTTCTGACTCCAATACCCATAGCAAAGTCATCTGAAATGGCTCAGCCGGCCGGCCCCAGCCAGTTTGGCTCAGTGGATAGAGCGTTGGCCTGTGGACTGGTCTCGGGTTCGATTGCAGTCAGTGCAGGCTCCTCCCCGGCCAGGCCCTGGTCAGAGTGCGTCTAGGAGGCAACTCATCGACGTGTTTCTCTCACATGGATGTTTCTCTCTGTCTCTCCCCTTCTCTTCCACTCTCTCTAAAAATCAATGGAAAAATATCCTCCGGTGAGGATTAAAAAAAAAAAGTAGGATAATCGAGAAATTCTTGAAGGTTAGTGTGAGAGTCGAGTGGATCCTGGGACCTCGTGAAAAGCCACTGTAATCCAGACCACGTGGTACTGGCTCAGGGACAGACAGACCCACCCGGGAGCTAGAAACAGCCCTGCAGGGGCAGGGATGCTGGAGAGGTGACAGCGATGGCCTCGCAACGCAACCAAGGACGGCTTTTCAAAAACCAGAGGAAGAGACTAAACTTACCCCTGTCTTTTTAAAAAATCAGTTTTACAGGGAGGAAGGGGGAGGGATAGAGAGTTAGAAACATCAATGAGAGAGAAACATCGATCAGCTGCCTCCTGCACGGCCCCTACTGGGGATTGAGCTGGAAACCCAGGCATGTGCCCTTGACCAGAATTGAACCCGGGACCCTTCAGTCCGAGGGCCAGCACTCTATCCACTGAGCCACAGCGATGGGCCTTACCCCTGCCTTTCTGCACACACACGCGGGCAAGGTGGCTAAACACAAAAAGCAAAACAATAGAGATTGTGCAGGACAATCAGGGACTCTGCGTGTCTGTTCCCTGGGTCGAGCCTGTTCACCAGGTGACCGTGGACAGCGTGGGCAACTGGACGGGAGGACGATCCTGAGGGGGGGCTTGCCGCTGTTGGGGGGCTGCAGCCAGTAGCCCTCGTGGCGGGGGCAGAGCGTAAGGGTCCCTCCAGCCCTGTCCAGCGAGGTCCTCGTCTCGTCGCTCCCATCTGTCACCGGCTCCGGTAGCTTTAGGGTGTTTACCCACTGGACCAGTTCAGCGTTGTCCCCTCCCGTCACCACGGGGCCGGAGGCGCGGACGGGCGACAGCAAGGTGACCTGTCACTCATTCACGAGAAGTTACTGACTGGCTGACAGGGCCCGGCCCTGAGCAAAATCAAGTGAGGATGGGGAGCGGGGAGGGAGGGCCTGCAGGGGTGCAGCTCCCCCTTGGGTGGGGGGTGATGGCCCTCCTGCACCCCGCGTGGAGGCTGGTGCCGGGGTCTGGCGTGTGCCCGCTGCCAGGAGGGACGGATATGTATGAGCTCAGGCGGACTCGCTGGCTGGGAGGCGAACGTGCGCGTCTGCGTGAGCCTGAAAGCCCCAGCTGCTGGGCACGTCTCGGGAGCCGCCCGAGCCCTTCGTCTGAGGGCATTCCCTCCGGACACCTGTTGGGGCAGCTGCCAGCTGCTGGCCTCTAAGGGGAAGGAAGATGAGCAAACGCCCTAAATCCTCACGACCCACAACCTGTGTCCCTGGTGCCTGCTCCCCTCGAACCTCCAGGCTGGTCCTGACCCTCCAGACAGCGCCCGCCACCCCCAAAGCTGCAGCAGAGTCTCCCTGCAGGTCCCTGGGCCATGGGTGGGCCCCGCCTTAGGGGGCATGAGGCCTTCCCTCTCCACACCCGGCTGCATGAACCCCCTCGGGTTTCCACGTGGCCACGGCCCCTCACTGCCAGGGCTCAGGGGCACCTGGGTCCCTCGTCTGCTCCCTGGCTACTCCTGGGCTAAATCCCGTGCCTCCCTGGGGCCCCCCGCCCCCCACCCCCCCACACCCCGGGCAGAGGGCCGAGCTCATCGCCATGGAGCAGCTCAGCCTGGGGAGCAGGGGGAGCAGACCTGACCCTGGACCAGCGACCTTCAACTGTTACCTCACTTCCCCTCGGCTGACCTTCACAGCAGCTCAGAACGCAAAGGCCTTTTCCCTCCTTCACAGGTGAGCAAACAGGCCCCCAGGTGGACGGGCTCGGCCAGGTGCCAGCCCCACACCGGGAATCGAACCTCGACCTCCTGGTTTGTAGGTCAACGCCCCACCACTGAGCAACACCGGCCGCGCTGCTCCCCTGTCTTGCAGAGCAGACAGACCTCCAGGGTTAGGGAGCAAACTTCCCTGGCAGAGTCCGCAGGGATGCGCCCCTGGGACTGGCCCACTATGCAGCCTCTGAATGCCACCCCCCAAGCCTCAGCTCGCACCCCACCCACCCGCGAGGCAGGGACAGAGGCTGAGCCGGCTGGCGCTGGGCAGGAGTTTTATTGAAAATTCACAGACACGGGAGCTCTGAGCAGGGTCGTGGGGTCACAGCTTGGAGACTGGGTCAGGAGGGTGGAGGGAGTCCCCAGATGCCAGCAGCCCCCACACGGGGAAGCTCCCTCAGAGCCCTTCTTGTTGGGTGTCAGGTCGGAGAGACCCAGGTGGGGGTGCAGCCGCTGGAAGCCAGGGTGCGGCAGCCCAGGAGGATCAGGGGTGGGAAGCAGGTGGAGGGCCAGGAGGCGAGGGGCCTGCACGAGCTCGCTGCCCCCGGCTGTGGGAACCTCTGCCAGCCGGGCTGCCCGCTCACAGCTCCGGGGCCCAGGGCGGACGGCCCGCTCTGCCGCCACCAGGGCATCCTCCGTCCTGAAAGTGAGCCCTTCCCGCTCCCTCATGCGCAGGCCGCGGCCTCAGTAGTCGGTGAGCGGGTACCGCAGGAAGATGAAGACCAGGATGATGCAGGAGGCGGCCAGGGCGGAGCTGGTGATGTTGAACAGCCGGGCGGTCTTGGCGTCCTCCACCGCACCGTTCAGGTCGTTGAGCAGCTTCTTGTCCCGGACCTGCGGCCAGAGGAGAGGTGAGCCAGGGTGCGCCTGGGCGGCTGGGCGGGCGGAGAGCAGGGGCCAGGGCAGCGGGGGCCCACTCCGCCCCCCTTCCTGCCGCTGGCCTGTGGTCCCGCTGGACGCTCCTTGCCGTGGGCACTACATTAACAGGGCCTCTCGAGAGGGAGGCGAGGAAAGGGGATACGGTGCAGGGTCCCCCTCGGCCAGGCGTCTGGGAAAGCACACGGGAATGCTTTGTACTTTTTTAGTCTGAAAATGTTTCTATAAAACACCTGGTTAGTAATACTGTTCTGTACTTGAAAGTGGCCGAGGGAGGAGATCTGAAGTGCTCTCACCACACACACACACACACTCACACACACACACACAAGAGTATTACGTGTGTGGGGAGAAAACAGGGTGCATGATGCATGAAATAGAAAGTTGGGCAAATGGGATAAAGGAAGAAAAACTGTGAGGAAGAGAGGGCAGATAAATGTATTTTCATCAATATGTGGATTAATAAACCGATACGTAGTTACAGTGAGCAAGGGAAGGAGGAAGCGAGGGAAGAGGAAGTGGAAGGGAGGTGGCTAGAGAGACACGAAGCTGGGAGAGGGATGGACGTGTGGCTGAAGGTGACAGATACGCGTCCTGATGAATGAAGGGATGGGCACATCACACCGGCAGGAGAAGGGGTAGAGGAGATGGCGGTAAGAATGGAGGAGGAGGGTGGTGGGCGAAATAACAGAGAAAGCGATAATAAGAGAAATGGCGACGGGCATGGAGCTGGGTTAATGGCATGACCTGGTCTTAGCTCAGTGAATCCTCTCAACAACACTTTGAGGGGGTACGTCCCCCTTTTCACCAGGAGCAGGATTCGCGCGGAGAGATGGAAGGCCCAGGGTTCAACCCCTGCTGTAAACTAGAGGCGCCCGAACAGCGGGGTGCATGGCTGTGTGGTCTATTCAGAAAGTGGGGGAGGTGGACAGAGGAGGGAGAGCAGGGAGAGGAAGAGTAGAGAGGGCAGTCAGATGGATGGGTCCCTGGCCAGAGACATGGGAAGAAGGAGGAAGGAGAGATGCAGGCATAACAAGACTGTGAGGCTGGGGAGATGGAGGGGTGTGTGGGTGGTGGGCTGGGCATGGATGCACGGCGGGGGTGCCACGGACGGTGCTCTGGGATGAACTGAATAAACAAAGGGTCCGGAGGGAGGGTGGGAGGAAAGTGGGTGGATGGATTGAGAGATCGGTATAAAGTTTCATAACGAAAAATGGGTGAGTGTGTGGGCAGGTAGGTGATGGACAAATGGCATCAATGGCTGCAGTGAGCACAGATGAATAGATGAAAGGATGGATGGACAGAAGGATGGGTGGATAGATAGACGAACGGATGGAGGATGGATGGATTGGTAAATTGATGAATTCAGCATGTGGAGTGAAAGGAGAGGAGGAAAAGAAAAAGGCAAGAGAATACACAAACGAGATGAATGGGTACATGACCAGTTGGATACATGGGTGGATGAGAAGGGAGGGAAAACAGACAAAAATGATAGGGGATGGATGGGTGGGGTCAAAGGGTGCAGATGAGTGAAGATGCATGGAAAGGTGAGCGCGATGAACGGGCACTGGAAAGTGAGGTGCAGCTAGAATGGCAGCGGAGAGAAGGGATGTAGACGGCTCGAAGGATGAACAGATGTACTGACGTGTGGATGGGGGATGGGATGGGGCTGGTAAGTAAAGGGGAACAAGTTACCGTGAAAGTGAGGTTAGATGAATAGTTAAGTGAACTGATGTATAAGGAGGGGATGGGATGGGGTGGGAAAGGAAGGAGACGCTTAATGAACATGTAAAAACATGGATGGATGGATGGATGGATGGATGGATGGATAATGGATGGGTGGGTGGATGGATGAATGGATGAATGAATGATGGGGGGTGGATGATGGGTGGATGAATAAATGAATGGATGGATGGGTGGATGAATGAATAGATAGGTGGATGAATGACAAATGGCTGATGGAGGGTGGCTGGATGGATGATGGATGGATAGATGAATGGATAGATGGATAATGGATGGGTGGGTGGATGGATGGATGATGGGTGGATGAATAAATGAATAGATGGATGGTGGGTGACAGATGATGGAGGGTGGGTGTGTATGGATGGTGCTGGTGTTCTGAAGGAGGGAATGAGCAAATATGTACATACAAAAGCTGACACAGCATCCTCTCCCCATCTGTCCTTTCTGGCTTTCCTGTCATTGAGAAGTCGCACAGCCTCCTGGGCCCACTGAGCTGCTGTCATGTCCTGGTTACATTGGCTCCTCTCCTGTCACCATCCCTGTGCTGGGTCCAGCCGCATACCCTGTCACCTGGACCCCTGCCCCAGGACCCTACCTCCTCTCTGCCTCTGGGCTTCTCCCACTGCCTTCCTCCTCACTGACAGCTCTGCTCACACCGCTCCCTTCTGCGTTTCACAGGTGATGAACGGCAAACCCTCACCGGTGGTCCCCATCCTTCACTGGGCGCCTCCTGCCTGCCTGCCTTACCTGGACCATCTTCCTCTGCTCCCCACAGAGCACAAAGGCCTGGCTGTTCCCTGACTGCCTCACCCTCGTGTCTTTCTGTTTTCTCCTTCGGGAACACCTGTCCCTGCCGGGAGCCGGTCCATCCTTGCTGTTTCAAGGGACCTGGCATATATGGCATACTGTTCTTAAAATGTTTTCTCACCTTCTTGGCACTATGTGTTTTAATCAAGGTCTCCTCTCTGAAAAAGGTTGTTTCCCCAGGTAGGGATTTTCCCCTGAAGTTAGGGAGGGAATAAAACCTCTTAACTAAGTGCCAGGGGGGTAATTAATCACTTTAACTATGAACAATCATGCTTAAGCTACATAATCTTTACTCCCTGGAATGGAGATAAGAAACGCCCTAACCTTTGTAATAGAGATTGATAGGATTGAATCAACTGGTATAAATACAGATGTAATAAGACAGCGACACAGAACTTAGAACACAGAACTTAGAACACAGAACTAGAGAGACAGAGCCTAGGCACAGAACCTACACAGAACGTTCTCTAGAGACAGAGGAACTTCGCTGGAGAGAGCATGGCAAAAGATCCTGGACTGAACCTGACTACAGAAATGGGCAAGAGAACCTGACTAGAACCTGGTAACTGGACCTGGCTGGAGAACCTGGACAGAACCTGGCTGGAGAACCTAGCAAGAGAACATGGACACAGAACCTGGCTGGAGATCTGAAGCAGAACCCTTCTGGAGATCCAGACCAGAACTTGGCTGGAGATCCTGGCTAGAGATCCTGGCTAGGCTGCTGATCAACTGAACGCTGTCTCCGTGTCATTCCTTCTTCGCCGACTCCGTCTACACCTTTGGGAACCCCTGGACCTGCTGGGGCAGGACCCCAGCATGTCCCCTCATCTGTCCTTCAAGGCTAGAAGCATCCCGCACCAACCCCAACCTCACCCTCATCTTCTTTCTCTGAAACACGGGGCTGCTCATTTCATCCTGTCCTGTCCATGCACCCCCAACCCAGCACCCCTGGACCCTTGGGTGGGGCACTGATGGCAGCAAGAAGGGACGGATCTGGTGGGTGGACAGCCATGGCTGGGATGGGGTGTCTGCAGGGGAGGGGCTCGGCCAGAGGGAGTCAGTGGAGTATTTGCAGAAGAGAGACCCGGTCTTACCTAAGCCCTCGGGCTGGGGGAGCAGCATGTTGCAAACCGAGGTGTCACAGGACGGCTGGGCTGGGGCGCTTGGCGAGGCCAGGGGAGGGTGAGCATGAATCTCAGGGGGCTTTCAATGCCAAGCCAGGGGGTACTGAGGGGGGCAGTGGTCATGATGGGCAGCTTGTGCAGACGGCATGGACAGAGAACTGATGCCTGTCTGCCTCCCCCGGACACTGGGCTGAGCAAAATCAGGCTGCACCCTCATGGCAGAACCAGCCTGCAGTGAGCTGAGCTGCCCGGCGACGGGGGAGGGCCGGACGGGTGGCGTGAAGGTGGGTAAACAGAAGTGTGAGGCAGGGACACCCACAGGACGCCAGCCTCTGCCCGGCCCACGTGGACTGACGTGAGCCTTGTGATGTTTCTATTGGTTGTGAACGGTCAAGGGATGGGCTCGGGGAAGCAAGGGGGCGTCTCAAGAGCTCGCTGCTCTGAGGGACCCAGCTGGGAACGCAGCCAAGGCCTCCGGACCCCAAGCCTGCGGGTGCCCTTGGAGGGGCCATGACCGGGGGCACATGCTGTGGGTGCAGCAGGCGGGGAGGTGCAGCTGGTGGACAGATGGATGCACTCGCCAGAGTGAGAGCCCGAGCCGCCAGCTCTGTCCTGCCTGCCCGTGCGGAGGCAGCTCACCTCGTGTGCCCTCCCAGGGGAGCCCTGAGCCTCCCCCTCGCTGCCCACAAGGAAGAAAAGGAAGAACGCAGGGGAGCAGCCCCGGGTGGAGGCGTCGAGCTCCTCCTGCCCCTCAGAAGCACCAGCTCCGACCTGCCCCCCACCCCGCAAAGCCCGCACCACGCAAGTCCTGACCTACCTACAGCCGCGGCAGATGGGCCTGCCCCATGCCAGCCGGCCGCCCACAGCCAGGCCCAGGAAGGAAGGAAGCTTCCGAACAGGAGCCCCTGCTGCTGGCCCATGCCACAGGCTGTGGGCACCAGAGGAGGCCGAGCAGGGGCTGGCCTGGGGGTCTCCACCCCCAGCTCCCAGGGACCCTTCCCTTTGCTGCCTCTGCAGTGCACACACACACACACACACATGCACACTCACACCTCATGCACTCAGTGCACATACGCATGCACACACAGACGAGCACACACCTATATGCATGCCCACATTCAGGCACACACATGCACACTTCCAAGTAGCTGCACACGTATGCACTCACATGGTCATGCATGTATAAGTATACAAGGCACACTCACACCTACACCACTCATGCACACATGCTCATACACATGCAATTCCACTCACACACGCATGCACACACACACACCTGCATGCATGCACGCACTTTGTGCACACATGCACGCTCACGCACATTCACTCACACAACATGGTTCCATGTGGTGGAGCCCAGGACCAGGTACACAGGCCAGAATTTGAGGGATGAATGGCGGTCAGCGATGCTGATGCTGAGGGTGAGTCAGGAGGAGGGAAAGCCAGGTGGTCAGATGTGCGGTGCCAGGGCGGGTGGGCTGACAGAGGCACAGCGACAGAACAGTCCACGTCCTTCCACTCCCCCAGCCTCTCTGGCCCAGCCCCTCCTCTCCCTGCAGCCCCCATGGGCCCCTCCCCACCCCCTCTGTCCCTGCCTTGCTGGTCAGCTGCTACCAATGGAATGAACCAATCTTGGGCATCATATCTGGAAAGTGGGTGATCCGGCGAGACACAGGGCAAGCCCTTCCTGAGCCACGGGGAGATGGGGGCCGCCTCCTGGGGCAGGGCTGCAGCGGCCCTGGGCTCTCTGTCCTTATACACACACGTACCGCTCTCTCCACCCCAGGCGTGAGCGGTCACAGTTCCCTCCTGGGATCTGTCTCCACCTTGCCCGTGGGGGGGCCTGTCTGCTCCTGGCCAGCTCCTCTCAGAGCAGCGAGGGGCTCTGGGGGCCATGGCCCTGGGCAGGCTGTGGGCTCAGATGGATGGGACAGGACGTGCTCACGGCTCTCCCCCTGGCTCCCGGACACTGGACAGACTGTCTAGAACAGCCGTGGGCAAACTACGGCCCGCGGACCCGAAAGAGCGGAGGGTTCTCTTGCTCTCCCCTCTGCTCCTTCACCAGCAGCAGTGTTAACATGGCAACGTCGGGAAACACGGCCACAGCTCCTTCTTCTGAGTCCAGTTTAAGAACCCATTGTGGCCCTCGAGTCAAAAAGTTTGCCCACCCCTGGTCTAGAACCATGTGTAGAAGGGGGAGGGGGAGGGCCGTGACTGGTGACCAGTCTGTGTGGCCGCCCTCCGCGTGTCTGCCCTGTGTCAGATTCCCCAGCGAGGGGCTTGGCAAGGTCTCCAGCCACCCTGACATCTCCTCCTCCTGTCAGGGGAGAAGGACTCCAAGGCCCCTCCACATACCCATCCGTCCAGGGCAGCTGTCCAGGGCTAATGCCCCCACCCCCACCCAGAGGACAGGCCCTGGGCCCTGAGTCCGCCCCCTAAGCTGGCAGCACAGAGACCCTGGCCCTGTGGACCCAGAGCCCAATCAAGACCCCCGGGAGCTTCCCAGCTCAGCATGGGGGGGCGGGGGCCCAGAGCTCCCCACACCCTCCTCGCTGGCCTCCCCGTCCTAGTCCTCAGCCCTCTTGGCTGCACCTGCTGCACCCACGGCTTCTCTGAGGGGGGGCAGAGTGGTGCAGCCAGGGCTCTCCCCGCCCCCCCTGCCGGCCCCTCCCCGCGCCCCCCTCCCCCCCGCTCACTTTGAGGGAGTAGGCCAGGGCGATGAAGCCCAGGCAGCAGAAATTGAGGTAGACGAAGTTGAAGATGGACCACAGGTAGTAGTCGTTCACCTCGCTGGTGTCGGGGTAGATCTCGATGACCGTCGTGGGGTTGGTCATGGTCTTCTTCTCCGCCAGGTGCTTGCAGACCTGGGGCGCGCCGGCCCCCCGCACGCTGTCGGCCTGGCCGCTCTTGGGCTCCATGGGGAACAGCGTGGGCGCCATGGGGGGAGAGGCCGAGGGCTCAGGGGCCGGGGCTGCGGGCGCCTGCAGGGCGGGGGGCTTGGACACACAGGCGAAGCAGCCCTTGGGGGACCCTGCCGGGGGCCTGGGGATCCAGAAGGCCCCGTCCAGGGGCACGCGGGCTTCCTGGGCGCCGTCCGTGGTGCTGGCCAGGGCTCCCAGCGGGGCTGGGCACTGCTGGGGCCCTGGGCCTGGAGGGAGGGAAGAGGAATTGGAACTGGGTGCACCCTGGCTGCCCACAGCGTCTCCCCTGCAGCCCCAAAGGACATGGACGTCCCGGGGGAGGCGGCCAGCTGCCCGCCCGCCGGCCACCTGCCTCCCCCGTCACACCAAAGCCCTTCAAGCAGCCTTGGCACGGACATTGGGGGCTTTTCATCGCTTTGCCATCTGCGCACAAACACTCACCCACTGACAGGCCAGCAACCCCCCCACAAGGCCCAGCTGACTGGCGTCGCAATACACAGAGGCCAGCACCCAGGCCCGGCCCCCAGGGCGGTGGACCCACAGTGACGGCCTCTGCCGAGCTGGCAGCCAGCGGAGCTGCCTGGGCACCTGCAGCGGAGACGCTGACACATCCTGGCGCCCCAGACCCGGCCCACCCTGTGCGCTCGCTCGGAGATGCGCCAGGCAGACAGCTCCACACCATGACGCGCAGCGTGGACACGCAGCGACACAGGCTGGGACACGTCGCGGAGGGCGAACAGGGGCTGCGGGGGCTCCCAACTGGCGCCACGACGCCCCCGCCCCCCACCCCGGCCCCAGCGGCGTCCGGGACCCCAAGCCGCGCACTCGCACTCGCGGGCGCCACCCACCCTGGACAGACGCGCAATGTCACTGCGAAAGGCGCACTTCGCCAAAGAGGCGCCGCGCCCTGGCCACCCTGGGGGTCTCCGGCGAAGCCTCGCGACCCAAGCCGGGTCCCAGCGCCGCAGCCAGGACCGAGGTTCTCACTCACGGGCAGCTCCTGCGCTGGCGGCCTGACCCCTGCGCTCGGTCCGCGCGTCCTTCTTCAGTCCCGCGGCCGCTGTCTGTCTGGCCGCTCCGCGTCCCAGTGTCCCGACCTCGGTGCGGGGAGCGCGCGGAGCAGGGGGGGGGGGGGGGGGACGGGGAGCGCGCGGGGCTGGCGGGGCTGGCGCGGATCCCCGGAGCCTGCGCTCCCTCCGCAGCGCCAGCGGGCGGGCGGCGCGGCTGCAGCCCAAGCTCCACTCACGGCGGCCGCTGGGGCACAGCCACCTCCGCCTCCTCCCACGCAGGGTGGGGGCAGCGGGGCGCGGACGGAAGCAGGGGGTGCAAGACTAGCCAGGGATGGGCCCCCACAGCGCCCCCTGTCTGCCCGTACCCCAGCCCGCCCCCTGCCCCTCCCTCTGGCTGAGCCCCTGACCCCTCCCAGCGGTCTCCCCAAAGAGCCCCTTTCCTCCTCTGCACACCCCTGTGCCCAGACTACCCCTCGCAGGCCCATGTCCTCCTGGAATCTGACCCTCTCAAGCCCCCAATTGCAGTCCCTCTGGGGGCAGGATGGACACCCAGTGCCCAGCCCGGCAGGATTCTGTCCTAACCAGAGGCGACCCTCACCGCGCCAGCCCCCTGAGCCCACCAAGCCTCTCCTCTCCCCAAGTCTGACCCCGCACTCCGCGGGCGGAGCCTCTGAACCCACCTTCGCTGATCCAGTTCCCTCACAAACTCGGGTCTCAGAGCCCATGTCCTCTCCCCAGTTGGGCCGTCTGCCCATGGGGCCAGAAGTCCTTCTCCAAGACCTACTGGCACTTTCTCCTTGGAGCTCAGTCCACTCACCAGCCCTCCCCTCTCCAGGAGCCCAGCCTGTCCCCCTGGGTCCCATCCTACCTGGTCCCCTCCCCCTGGGTCCCCTCCCCCTGGGTCCCCTCCCCCTGGGTCCCCTCCCCTTGGGTCCCATCCCACCTGGTCCCGTCCCACCTGGTCTCATTCCACTTGCATCCCATCCCACTTGGGTCCTGCCCACCCGGGTCCCATCCCCTGCAGGTGCTGTCCCCACAGGTCACGTGCCCTAAGCAGTGCCTGCCGGGCACAGCCTGTCTTCATCCACCCACCACCTCATTGTCTCTCTCACTTGTCCCAGCTGCGCCCCCCCCCTCCTGCAAAAGCACCAGTGATCCCCTCCATCATGGGGAAACCCCCAACCACGAAGGTGCCTCTGAGCTGGGTCCTCTTCCCGTCCCCTGGCCCCACCAGCCCTGAAGCATGGCGGCCCGTCTGCCTCTCATCCCCTCAAGCCCTGTCACCCAGAGGCTGGCCTGTGCTCGGAGCATCTCCCCCATGAAACCCCCTTCCCCTTGGACCCTCTCAAACCGCCTCCCCTTCCCCCACGACCCTCTCCCCCCTGAGCCTGGGTCCTTCTCAGGGAGCCCTTCTCTGCCTGCCTCTGCCCGGTCCTCTGAACCCCTTCTCTTCGGAACTCCATGCACTCCCCAGCCTGGCACTGGTCCACCCCTCTCCAAGCTCCTCCCCTGTCCTCCCCCCCAACCCCCCCCCCCCCCCAGCCCTGGCACAGACTCCTCTAGGCTTGTCAGGAACCTGGGGCACAAAGTCAGCCTTAAACACTGGTGACACGTGTGTGTGGGAGAGCTTTTCGCACTGCCCCCATGCTGGCCTCGCCCTAGGAGCCCAGGCCCAGGGCCCAGGCATGAGGGCACTTGGGTCTGTGGGGACCAGGGTTCAGGTCTCCCTCACCCAACACCCACTGCCCCTTCCAGAGGCCTGGTGTGGGCATCCAGGCCTCTCTCGGGGGCTGAGCCTTCCCCGAAGGTGCCCTCCCAGCCTGAGTGTGGCCTGGGCTTCCCTGGCACCTGCGTGAGGCTCCCCCAGCAAGGCACTGCCCCGCCTGCCACAGGCTCACCGGCCCTCTCTGGGCAGGGCTGCAGGGGTGACCAGCGGGGCCTGGTCTGCACACAGCCCACCTGGTCCCAGGCAGCAGGCAAGGGGCACTGGCCCACAGGGGTCTGCTCCAGGTCCCAACAGGTCAGACCCGTCCTGCAGACCACCGTGAGGCTGCCTCACCGAGGCCCCCACTGGCCTCCACCTGGGGGGACCTCAAGGCAGGGGTGTGGGCTGGAAAGCCCACCCACCTCCCCTGCCCATGGGCCCGCTGGGCTGGGGCAGCGCAGGTCCGCCGTGAGGAGCTGTTACTACCCACCTTCTGGAGACGCGAGGCTAAGGGTGGGGTCGGGAGGCAGGCGTTGGGCCCAGGGTGGCCGCAGGGCCAGGCTCTGGGCAGGAGCATGAATGACCGCAGGGCCTGGACCAGGGCTGGGGCTGGGCCCGCCGTGCTGGTCCCCAAGTTCCAGAGCAGGACAGGGGTACCCTCCAGAGGCTGGAGACGCCAGCTGGGAGGGTCACGTGCACAGCGAGTCCAAGCCGTGGGCCTGCGACCTTGTTAGCCGGGACGTGACCTGAGCCAGCAGAGGCTGGCTCACTCCTGGAAGCTCTGCCCTTGGGGCCTCAGCGCACAGGGCTTGGATGACAGCCTCCCCAGCAGCCCTGCCAGGAGCTGTCTGCCCGCTCCTGCTCCTATTTCAGGTGCAGGGTTGGCCAGCCTCCTGGCCATGCGGGTTGCACTCTTTAGAGGTGCCCACCAAGGCTTGGCCTGGGGCCCCAGACCCGAGGCCAGGCCAATGGCAGCCAAGGCCCTGCAGGCTGGAAAGTCACCAGGCCAGTGACAGACGCCACATGTGCCAAACCCTACACTTGCTGGGGCGGCTGAGTCCCTGAGGGAGTCCTACCCACCACCAGGTGCTCACAAACTCCTATCCATCCCTCAAAACCTCCTGGAAAATGCTCCTCCTCCCACCCCTCAACAGAAGCCATGAAGGGGTGGGAGGGCATCCTGGTGGCCTGAACCCTGTGACTCAGTGACCCCGGTTGGGCCTGCTTGGCCAGCACAGGGTGAGGCCACTTCCGGAGAGGGGAACAAGGATGCCCAGACAGGAGGCAGGCTGCCCACTCGCCACCAGCCCTGTGCAGGCTCCCTTCCTAGCCCAAGTGGGGTGTGCAGGGGGACTGGGGAACACGGGGCCCTGCTGCTAAGGTCTCCTCCAAAGGCAGGAACATGGTCCAGGAAGGCATGGCAGCCACTGAAAACCATGTCCCATCAAAGGAAGCCTGCGCTCACCTGCCCTGCAGCCCTGGCCGCACCCTGCTGGTCGCTGCTCCAGGCCTCAGCACAAGCCAGCCCCCGCCTCCAGCATCCCAGGTGCAAAGCACCTCCAAACCACCTCTCTGCCCAAACCCCCCAAGTCAGCCTCCAAAACGCCAGCTTCCCCAGCCCCTCCTCATACCTGGGCGTCCCACCTGGTCCCATCCCACCTACCCCACCAGCACAAAGCAGGCCCAACACACAGATCCACAACTTTATTTTCAGGTCTGGCTCCTGGCCACTCAAGAAGGGGCAGCCTCAGAGAAGGCACTCTCCCCTCCCCCCCATCCCTCCTCCCCGGGCCAGCCCATGCCCTTCCAGGTGGGGTCAGGCCCCAGGAAGACCCACAGGCCTCACAGGGCTGACTATTGTCTCCTTCCTGCTGGCCCTCAGGGGGCCCTTCCTCGCTGGGCCTGAGATGAATGGACGGGTGGGGGGCGGCACTGCCCAGCTCCAGGCCCCAGGCTGGGTGGAGAGGGGACCAGGAAGGCAGTCGGGTGCAGAGCAGTGGCTCAGCCAGACGCTCTGCCCGCCGGGGCAGCCAGCCCTGAGGCCCAGGCTGGGACGGGAGGGGGGGGGGGGTGTCTTGGGATGCACAGTGAAAGGGCTCTGAGCACGAATGAGCCTACTGGCTGCCCCAGCCCCGCCCTCCATCGGACGGACAGACACAGACAGACAGACAGGCGGCTTCTGCAACCAGGGAAGGGAAAACCACAAAACAGCGCCTGCCACACGGCAGCCTGGGGAGCCGAGCCGCTGCAGGTGAGTGTGAGTGTGAGTGTGAGTGTGTGTGTGTGTGTGTGTGTGTGTGTGTGTGTGTGTGGCGGGGCAGCCGGGAGGGCGGGCGCTGCCTCCTCCCACGATTCTCCTCCTCTCCTGCCGGTGGGCAGGTGGCTACAGCTTGGCGGCCTCGGCCAGGCCCACACGGTTCTCCTCGCGGTCGAACACGGTGTAGTAGCGGCCGATGAAGACGTCACCCAGGATCCAGAGCGGCCCCCCAGGTGGGGGGATGTCCATGCCCATGAAGCCACTGAGGCAGATGGTCTTCCCGCCCTGTGACACCTGGGAAGGCCGGAGCGAGCGTTACCACCAGCCCGCCCGCCGCCCGCTGCCCGCGCCACCCAGCTCCCCGCCTCCAGGCCGCCCGCCCCCTGGCGCCCACCTTGAGTGTGTAGTCCTGCGCGCTCAGCTTGTAGTCTGTGCCCCCCAGTTTCAGGATGACCTCGGGCAGGCTGGACACCTTCTCGCAGGGGATCATGTACTGAAGCAGAAGAGGGCAGTGTGTGGGGGACAGTGTGGGGGGGGACAGCGGCCTGGGGAACAGCCACCTGGGCACCCGTCCCCGACCCCCCGCCGGCCCGGCCCGCCCTGCTCACCTCTCCCTGGATGAGCGGCACGGCCCCGATGGCCTTCTGCAGCTCGCGCACCTCGTCCACGGGGCCCACGATGAGGGAGGTGCCCGTGTCCACGATGGCCTCACAGCCCTCCTTGCACAGGGTCAGGCCGCTGCCCACGTCGACCCTGCAGGGGAAATAGGCGTGTCTTCCAGGGCCACCCGAGCCCCCACTGTGCCCAGCGGCAGCCCTGGCAGGAGGCTTTCTCCTCTCTCAGGCCTTGGCCGTGAGCAGTCAGGCAGCAGAGCCCAGAAGCCAAGAGCAGGTTCGCGGCCACTACATGGCCGTGTGCAGAGGCAGCAGGAGGTGACAAGGGGCACCGAGGGCCAGCGGGGCCCAGGGCCCAGGCCCACCCATTGCCACAGCCCCTCCCGAACCGACCAGGGCCCCGGCTGGTCGCTCCTGGGGGCCTGCTGACCGGCAGCTGGAGGAGGGCCCCCCGTAGTCCTGAACGAGGCTCGGCCAATACTCACTGATCCATGTGGACCTGCCAGTAGGCTTTGCGGGTGACGTTGAGGTAGGCGATGGGGCCTTTGTAGTACTTGGAGTCGGTGCCGCCCAGCATCAGCTCACCCCCTGGCTGTGCACTCGGGTCCCTGCAAGGGAAGGTAGGGGCAGTCAGCCCCCTGCCCACCCTATGTCCAGCCTAAGGGCCAGGTGGGAAGGGTACAGGCTGGGCCAGGGCAGAGGCCAGGGGTGGGGGGGCAATCTTAGAGAGCTTGCCAGAGGGGGACCCTCCTGAGCCCGCAGGGATGGAAGGATCCAGAAGGGGCACAGGAAGGACTGGAACTGCCTGCCCCTCCCCCAGGGAGGGCTTCAATCCCACACCGCGAGTGGACTGCAGGCCCAGCCACTGCCCGTGCTCAGGGCTCCTGGTCTGCCAGCTGAGGACACAGGGTCAGGCCGGTAGGCAGACAGGGACGGGAATGCTAGGTGCCCAAGGAGGGGAACCAAGGAGGGCTTCCTGGGGGAGGGGGTGCCGGGCAACCCTGAGAGTTGAGCCAGCTTGTTCCTCCCTGGGGCTCATGGCCTTGTACCCTCCGGGCAGCAGCAACTCTGGGCCACACCTGTCCCTCACTAGGCCCGGCTCTGGTTCTCACAGAGGCGAGGCCCACCAACCAAGACTGGACACATGGCCCGGGCACAGCCTGGGGAGGCACAGCCTGG